TTAGCCACATCATGAAATAAGGAGACAGTATTGCACAGCTTTCATCTAAAAAAATACCAAAACAAAACAACAAACAAAAAAAAACCCACAAAAAAAACCCAACACAAACACTAGGCCAGCTCACCTGTCCAGGGAAGTGCAGCCTCAGGGAACACTTTCACAAGCAGCTTAACTGATTTTGATCCATGACACTGCCTAATGGGCGGACCTGCCTCTCCCTGTTATATACACTGGCATTAGTACAGACACACAGTCAGCTCCATCAGTTCACTTTCTGTGTGGTGCTAATTGCTGGTTGGTTTGGCGGATGAATCCAGCCAACCATACAACCACTTCCTTATACCTGCACACGAGAGGCAATGAAAATGGACAATCAGAGGGCTGGAAAAGAGGTGCTCAGGGTCACTCTTTTCAGCAGTAACATCATCTTAAACCTGCTCTCTTGAAATTCTATGCTTACTGATACATATAGTTACCGTGAAAATGTAACCTTTCACATCCCAAATGCCTGCTTGGAGCAATCAGATCAGGAATCAAATCCATCCCAGAGTGAATACAGAAAGTATTTATCTTTTTTCACTCTGCTTTGAGAATGAGATCAGTATTTTAAGACCAGTCTATCTCTGAACCAGTGAAACCAGCAGATAAAAGAAGAACAACTGCAAATGAAGTCACAACAAGGTCTTAGTAGTTTCCAGCAGCAAAACTCCCACAAAGCTCAAATGAGAAAGGAAGCTGACAGGTTCCTGTCCATTTTCTCCAAAGGTTTTATTTTCATTGTACTATGCTTGCTAGTGTTATTTATATCCATCTCCATCCACTTAGCAAAAATCAGCTAGAGGTACTGGATTCTGCCCTGGGAACTGCCTCTCCCTGTAAGAAGGCAAGATGCTGTCTTCCTTCAGTTTTAAGTGCTGCACTTCTTACCAGTTATCACTTTGTTTCACTCTAGTGGGCTAAGCCAAAGATAGCCCAAGAGAAGTCTCTGCTAAAGCCATCCCGATCTTCTGCCAGATGAGAGAAGCATTGAAATTACTACGCTTTCTTTATTTTACTGAACGGGGCACAAAACCATAGAAACTTGTGCTGATTTTTTTTTGTCAACAGCCTCTGGTATGTTTTGCTCAGACAGGATTACAATAGCCACCACAGTCTTAACTCAATAATTATCTGCTTCAGATTCTGTCTGGAGATTTACTTAAACGCTTCCTCCTTCCCGGGAAGAGGAATTAATACCCTGCGATTGTTCATCTGCCTCAGAATAGGCATTACCAACACCTGGCTTCGCTATAGAGCCGAGAAACAGCTAGTGCCACGGATGCAACTCTAACTTCTTTTTTTAAATACGAAAAACTCCTTTTTGCTTTTTAAATACGCAAGCGTGGAAGCTACGCGCCTCAAAACAGGAGCGGACAAATCCTGGCTCGACCCGGGCAAAGCAGAAGCGACACCACGGAGCACCGGTACGCGCTCAGCAAGACGGCGAGCGGCAGCTCGCATCCCTGCGCGCCCGGGGCTCACCCGGGCAGCACCGGCGGCCGTCCCGAGGGGAGAGGCGCCCAACGCT